CTGTCTACGGATTTCCACTTGCTATACTGGGTCTTCTCCTCGCCATCCCCTCGTTTCTCCCGCAGCTCAACACGTTTGGCGTGTCGACCGCCGAGCCCATCAAGCCGCTCGCCTCGACCGTCACCCGCAAGCTTGTCATTGTCAAGCGACCCGACTTGGGCAACGATGTCGACGCGGTGATTCGCACCTTTACCCAGCCCGTCCAAAGGGACCTTTTGGTTTTCCACGACGACGAGGCGTCACTGCCGTCGGTGTGCCTCCCCGACACCCGCGGAGTCAGCGACTGCCACGCCATTGTCATCTTCAAGGACTCACCGTTGACCACGTCCGAGGCACGTCTGGCCAATCCTCCCAATGGAAATCATACATGGACGTACACAATACAGGCGGATCCCGCGCGGGACAACCGCAACTTCGACATCAAAAAACACAAGAGTGATCAGGAGGATTTGTATATGCCGCTGCAGCTTGCCATCAACAATGCCATTACCAACTCGACCATTGTCCCGCAAACCGTCATGTTCACGCCCCAGGAAGAGGCCAATGAGGACCAAAAGAACTTCAACTCCAACGCTGCCCTCATCGGCAGAATCTACACATTTGCGCTCATCGCGGCCCATTTCACCATCATATACGGCCTGGCGAGCTTCATCACCTCGGAGCGGGAATCGGGCATGTCCCAGCTCATCGACTCGATGGGCGGCGGCACCGCCATTATAGCCCGCGTCCTGAGCTGGCTGCTCACCCTCGACCTGGTCGCTCTGCCGTGCTACATTGCCATGGGCGCATTGTATCAGCGCCTGGCGTTCCCAAGCTCGAGCGCCGGCACCCTCATCGGTTGGCAGATACTGCTCGGCTTTGCCGTCAACAGCTCGACGGCCTTTGCCTCGGCCTTCTTCTCCAAGTCGCGCGTATCCGCCGTGTACATCATCTTTGTGTTTCTCGTCCTGTCCATTGCCGCGCAGATGTACGCCTCGGAGTCCAGGCCGCACCCCCAGCATGCGACGGTCGCGGCGCTCTCGTTTCTGTTCCCCAGCGCCAACAGCGTCTACTTTACCCAGCAAATGGCCTTGTGGCAGCTGGCCGGCCTTGCAGCAGACCTTGGCAAGATGCCCGCCGAGACGGCCGGGCTCTTCTCTACCTCGTACGCGGTCAGCCAGAGCAGTCTGTTGCTTTTCCTGGGCCTCAGTGTGTTCATCTATGCCGCGGCTGCCGTTGGGGTCGAAAAGATGCTCCACGGCATCCATTATCGAAAGAGACGGTTTACTCCGCGGCCATCGATGGACTCGACGGGCGCCGTGGTGCAGACTCGCGATTTGAAGAAGCGGTTCAAACCTAGTTTGTGGTCGCGGATCTGTTGCTGCTGCTGCTTTTGCGGTAGGAAGAAGACGGTCGCAGCCGTAGACGGCATCAGCTTCGAAGCGCAAAGGGGCCAGATCATGTGCCTGGTCGGGCCCAACGGCTCGGGCAAGACGACAACCCTCCACATCATGTCCGGCTTCATCAACCCGACCGAAGGGTCAGTCGCGCTGGAAGCCGCGCCGTCGCAGGTCGGCATCTGCCCGCAGCGCAACACCCTGTGGGACAACCTGACGGTCGGGGAGCACGTCCGCATCTGGAACGGCATCAAGTCTGGCAGTCGGTCGAGCGAGGAGCTGGAGCAGTTGATCGGGCAGTGCGACCTCTCCCCCAAGCGCGGGTTCAAGGCCCGGGAGCTCAGCGGCGGCCAGAAGCGCAAGCTGCAGCTGGCCTGCATGTTTGTCGGCGACTCGTCCGTGTGCTTGATTGACGAGTGTACGTCCGGGCTGGATCCCCTTTCGCGGAGGGCCATCTGGGAGATTCTCCTGCAGCAGCGGGCCAGGCGCAGCATCATATTCACGACGCACTTCCTCGACGAGGTCGACATTCTCGCCGACCACATTGTCCTCCTCGCCGGCGGCAAGATCAAGTGCCAGGGCGCGCCGGCGCAGCTGAAAAGCCAGCACGGCGGCGGGTACAAGGTTCTCGTCCCTCTGTCCGCGCCGGATCTGGGCCACGGATACCCCCCTACGACGCACCAAGACAGGACCATGTACGCGGTTCCCGACTCGGCAGCGGCCTCGCGCCTGATATCCATGTATCTGGGCGCGGGGGTGCGCGACGTTGCGATTTCGGGGCCGCAGTTTGAGGACGTGTTCCTGAACCTCCTCCAAGACGACGTCGTCCTCGACCCGTCCAAGAGCTTGGCAAACGTCGACCCGTACTTTAGCATGAGCCCGGGGACGACGACGTCTTCATGGACCCAGTTTCGCGTTCTCTACGGGAAGCGCTGGAACGTGCTGACTAGATTCTGGAGTCCGTACCTGTTCGCCGTCATTGTGCCGCTCGCGGTTACGTTTCTGGCCGGGGGCATCATCAAAGACTACAGCCCCCCCGGCTGTGACGCGCTCCAGGATACCTTTCGCATGGACTACACCGGGTTGAAGTGGAACGAATCCTGTCCGCAGTCGGGGACGTGCGACCGGCTTTCTATTTCGCCGAGCCAGGCCAACGCGACGCTCTTTGCTCTGGTGAGGAACGGCTACCGGGAGCTGTCTAATGTAAGCGCTAAGGCATACAGCGAGTTTGTCGACGTGCAGACGTCGCGAGATGATGTGCTCAGGCACATTGAGCAGAATAAGACGGCCGCCGGGTACGGGGGCATCTTTGCCGGAACGTCTACGGAAGCGCCCATGATTGCGTACCGGATCTTGACGTTTGGCGACCAGTCCGGCTCCCAACTCCTGGATATCTGGAGCCAGATGCAGGGGGGGCTGGAAATCAACTCCTCCCAAGAGTCCATGCCCAAGACGCGCAGGGTACGTTGTGTAATGTGATTTCTCGTGTATTCAGTCTACAGGCTAACCAGGGCGATTTCACCAGGTCGCGGACGTCGGGGGCGTCGCTTACCTCCTCTTCTTTACCTTTGTGCAAATATTCTACCCTGCAAGCTTTGTTCTGTACCCGGCCATTGAGAAATCGCGCAAGGTCAGGGCGGTGCAGTACGCAAACGGGGTTCGGCGAGCGCCTCTTTGGGCCGCCTATGCTGCCTTTGACTTCCTCTGGGTTCTCATCGTCTCGGTGGGCGTCATGGGCCTGAGCGCCTTGAAGCTCAAGTTCAATGGCCCCATGCTCATCCTGTTGCCGACTCTGGCGTTGTACGGGGTTGCCGCCACGCTGATGGGATATGTCGTTGCGCACTTTACAGACGGGCCTCTCAAGTCATACTTGGCGACTCTGGGGATCGGCTTTCTTTCCTGGATTGTAGTAGCGATTGCGACGCTGGTAAGAGATGCCCTCCCATTCCGAGGTTGCATGATTCATCAGGGCCGCTAACACCATGTGCAATAGGTTAATGACAGCCCGTCGAGCCTGACTGCCATCGCATTTGGCGCCGACCTCTTCTTACCCATTGGAAACATCTTCAGGACGCTTCTGGTCGGGCTGAACTTGAAGGAGGCGGGGTGCAAAGACGGAAGGCCCGTAGAGGTAGGGACCATCTACAGCTTTGGCGGCCCGCTGCTGTACCTCTTCTTGCAGATCTTTGCGCTTCTCCTCATCATTACGTGGTTGGAAGGCGGCTTTCCGTCCCTCGGCTCCTGGCGGTACAGCCGTGTCTCGAATCCGCATAGGTTCTCGGACGTCGAACTGGCCGACATTTCCGCGTATGAAGCGCAGCTTGGGAGCGACCCGGTATCGGAGGAGGCGTCGCGCGCGGAGAGGACGGAGACGGACCTCCTGCGGGTGCTGCACGCCAGCAAACACTTTGGCTCGAACAAGGCCGTGGATGATGTTACTTTCGGCCTGCCTCGAAGCGACGTCATGGCCCTGTTGGGTCCCAACGGTGCCGGCAAATCCACCCTGGTCAACATGATACAGGGCGAATTCTCACCAAGCCAGGGCAAGATGCTGCTTTGCCAGGAAGACAGCCGTTCCCCCTCGTCCAAGAAACATTTGGGAGGTGTGTTTATTGCATAAAACCAATCAGCCCTTGGGGCATTGTTTGCTAACTTTTTCTTCTTCTTGCCAGTCTGCCCTCAATATGACGCGCCCGACCTGATGAACACGCGCGACCATTTGTACTTTTACGGCCGCATCAAGGGGATACAAAAGGTCAAGGAGAATGTCGAGTACCTCATGGCCAAGCTCGACCTCACGCGCCACGCGCGAACCCAAGCCTCCAAGCTCTCGGGGGGAAATAAAAGAAAGCTCATGCTGGCCCTGGCGCTGATGGGCACCCCGTCCATCCTCGTGCTAGACGAGCCAACATCGGCCATGGACGCGGTGGCAAAGCGCCAGTTCTGGAAAGTGATCCAGGAGATTGCCAGAGATCGCTCTGTCCTCCTCACGGTACGTGATGCCATTCCACTTGCCCAACGTGTCCGAGGCGTCTACTCTAACCAAACCCCCAGACACATAGCATGGAGGAAGCCGACGCCCTCTGCACACGCACCGTCATCATGGCCCGCCGAATCCTGGCCATCGGGACCACGCAGGCGCTGCGTCAGCGGTACAACAACGAGTACTTTGTCAATCTTGTTCTCGGGTCCGCGCCGAAATCAACGGCAGCCGAGATGGGGCAGGTGACGGAGTGGGTGAGGCGCACGGCGCCAGACGCCCGGTTCGAGCGCGAGGTGCTCGGCGGCCAGGTCCGCTTCACGCTGCCGACGGCCGTGAACAACGGGGGGAGCACGGGCGGGCTGCCCATCGCGCGTCTCATGGAGGCGCTGGAGCAGAGCAAGCGCGCCCTGGGGATAGAGCACTACTCCGTCAGCGGGCCGACGCTCGAGGACGTGTTCCTGAGCGTGGTCAGGGAGAACAATGTCGAGGAGGAGAATGGCGCGGAGAAGAAGAGGGGGCTGCTGGACGTGAGCCGTGTGAGGGCGCGGTTTCCCGGAAAGGGGAGAGCCTGGTGCCGCTTGTAGAAAAGTCGATGGCGGGAATTATATAATACACGAAGCGTTTAATGTCTATCCTTTGCGTCACGTCGGCGCAAGCTTGACGACGACCTTGCCCACCTGCCTGCCCTGCCACACGTACTCGATCGCCTCGTCTGCTTTTTCAAACGGCCAGACCGAGTCGATGATGTCGTCAAAGGTCATTTTTGTAGCCGAAATCGCCGCCACGAGATCCTCCTGATCGTCTCTGGAGCCGGCATTGATCCCGCTGTGCGCGTTAGATGTCTCTGCCATTCACGCCGGGCCTTGATTCACTTCTACTTACCGGACGCTCACCCTCCGGTCGATCAGGGCGGGAATCAAATCTTGGAGGTGCGCCGCCTCCCTCCCGCCCAGGTAGCCGACCTGGCTGACGACGCCGCCGCGCCGCGTGCACAAGACACTCTGGACGAGGGAGCTGCTGCCGCCGTTCTCGACGACGAGATCGACGCCCACGCCGCCCGTCAGCCCGAGCACCGCCTCATGCCAGTCCCGGCGCGTCTTGTAGTTGACGGTGTCGATGTCGGGCCTTCCCAGCCGCTGCTTGAGCCTGCGCAGCTTGTCGTCGCTCGAGGACGTCAGTATGACCCTGAGCCCCGACGCGCGCGCGAGCTTGAGCGCAAACATGGCCACGCCGCCTGTTCCTGGGGGGGACACGGTGAGCGGGAATCGCGGAAGAAGCACGCACACACACACATGGCTACGAACCCTGTATCAAGACGGTTTGCCCCATGGCGGCGCCTTTGAGCGCAGACCAGGCCGTGGTGCCCGCGCAGGGAATGGTGCTCGCCTGGACCCAGTCGAGGTGCGGCGGCAGGCGGGTGACGAGGGACTCGTCGAGGACGAGGTGCGTGGCCAGGGTGCCGTCCTCGTCGGCGGCCAGCCACGAGCGGGCGGTGGAGCGGGCGGCGACAAAGGCCGAGTCGGTGATGGGGGCGACGGCGTCTCCGACGGCGACGAGGGACGCGGAGCCGCCGGCGGCAAGGACCTCGGCGGCGGCGTCGTTGCCCGGCACGCCGTGCGGGAGGACGGGCCACGGGTTGTTGCCGTGGGCGGTGTTGGCGTCGCGGTAGTTGAGGGAGACGGCGTGGACCTTGACCAGGAGGGCGGTTGGGCCGAGGGGCGGCAGGGCCTCGGTGACGAGCTTCACCTTGGGCGCCGAGGGGGCGTGGTTGTCGGTTCGGCGAAAGGCGCGGCGCGAGGTGACTTGGGCCATTGGTGCCTCTTCTTGCGCGGGGTCATGTACATACATGTCCACTGGTATGCTCTCAAGTGTGATCGCGTGTGTTTCGGCCACTTTGGATAAGAGGGAGCAATGGCATTGCTGAGCGGACACCGGGATTTCCTGATATAAGGCGCGGCCCTCTGTTTGTTATAAGTAGTCGAGTCAACATGTTGCTCGACGCCGTATGTACGGTCATGTGTCTTCAACATGAGCAAGTGGTTGCCAACTTGCGGGGTTGCTGGATTTGTCAGAATATTGAAACATTGAACTCAATTTCCATCTGGGCGGCGTGGATCCGGCATCGAAGCCGAGGCCGCACTAAAGGCTTGGCTGGCTGGGGTCCTCGGCGCTCGGCATCATGCTTACATAGCAGGCCGACGTCAAGCAAACAATTGTCACTGTTGTGTGGTGTAGTTGAGTAGTCGTGGGATGAGATGAGGTCAACTATGGCTTGCAAAAATCACGCCGCTGGGCCAAAGTGAAGCTTCGCTATTGAGGGCGATTATTTGGTACCAGCTTGACATGTCAAGTATGTGCAACAGATGAGGCTGGCTTCGGAAGCCACTTTGGACCAGACACTCCTCCTCTCAAGATGAAGCCGACGTAGACGGGCCACGGCAAAACAAGCAAAAAAATTTTACGAACAAAACAGCAAAGAATAAGACAGCAAAGAAACCAGCCGCTTGCCCAGCTCCCACTCGTTCGACCGCGGCGCACAATGAAATCACACAGCGTCAAGTCATAAAGGACCAAACCATGCCATAGACTCATCAGCGCACCCGGCCGCCCGCCATAGTGGCCTCGATCAAATCGTGCCCAATGTCAAACTGCTCGCCGTGCGGACAGTCGAGATTTTCAACGGCAACTGCGCGCCGTCACGTCAGACAGTCGTATCCCAGAAGACAGCAGAATCAAACTTACACCACTCCAAGGTCGCTTCTGGATGCGGCCCAACGAGCCCGACCCAGCCCTCGCCATACTTGGTCAGCGACGCAGCCACCCGGCCACCCTGGGAGTACCGACCCAGCACAATGGCCGTCTCGCTCTCGCGCAGGCCCCGAATCACAGCGCCCTCCTGGAAGTACAGCCAGCGGCCCGCGGCGGTCCGGCCGGCCTGGGGCCCCGTGGCGAAGCGCCAGTCGACCTGGACAATGGCGTCGGCGTCGGTCGTCACCTGCGCGCCGTCCTGGTCGTTCTCGGCGTCCGTGTCGGCGCCGCGGGGCAGCAGCCCGAATCCCGGCGTGTGCCCGGCGAGATAGGCGCCCAGGCAGAAGCCCACGTAGCGGCCGCCGCGGGAGACGAACCTGCGGATGGCGGGCGCAAAGGCCCTGGTCTCGGCCCAGGCGTCGTCGAGGTCTGTGGTGGAAAAAATCAGTCGCCGGCGTCGGACAAGAGTCTGGGGTCTGGTTTGTTTTTGCGTGTCTGGTGTGGTGTCAATGCGGCTGCTGTCGGCATGATGCGGCAGCAGCAGGCAGGTGATGTTGACGCATGGGGGTGCCTTTGCGCCACGAGGTGGTGTAACGAGCTGAAAAATAGATATGGACTGCGGCAGGCGCCGTGGGAAGCTGTGCATGAGAATGATTGAGGCTGGACGTACCCGGGCCCCCCGGCTGCGCGTACAAGTCCACCTCGCTCAAGGTTTCGTGCGACACTTGGACGGCCTCGCTTGGGCCGGCGTACTGGACCTCGAACCGCCGCGGGCTAGACTCTAGAAGCCTGGCGACGGCTTCGGGCAGGCCGTGGCTGCTCGCTGGCCCGCGATACACGAGAGCGCGTGGCCGGGGCATGGTGGAGGAAGGGCACGCGGACGATGATGCTCACGATAGTCGCAGACCTGTGGGCTACGATTAGCAGCGCTGAGAGACACGAGGGGCGCTGCTTACCGGCGTGACGGGTGCTCTGGTTTGGTTCTTCGGTCGGCCCGGGAGAGACAGAGAGAGAGAGAGAAAAGGCGTGCGTGAAGCAGTCACTGTCCAACAACTTGAGGACACGGCAGCATGGACAACGCACCGTGTGCTATTTGACCTTCCGAGTCGGGCGCCCGCTTCCCGCCTGGGGTATAAAATAGACTAGATTGACGGCATAGAGGGCACGCTCGAGTTCCAGAATGTCCCTTTGGGGGCCAACGATGCCAATTCGATGGCGTGGCTGCAGGGCCGGGCCCGACGCGGCAAAAGCTGACATGAGCCCGCATCCCGTCTGGCGCCCAGCAAGGCGAGGAGAAGCGCATTCAACGTCAAGTCTGGTCCCATACTCCGTACTCGGTCAACAAGGTCGGGGGCCTTGATTTAAGCTATGCCGCCCGTCATCTTGGCTTTCGGCCCCCAGCGCCCGTTGTCGTACTCCCCGACGAGGTGGCTGGCCTGACAAACATCGACTCGTTCCCCGACGTCCTCTTGGCCGTCGATTCCGAAGACGCCAAATATGCCAACTGCCATTCTCATCGTCGCCCAGTCTCGGCATTCGGCCTGCTCGTCTCCTTCACTTCCCAGCCGATTCGGGCCTGGGCCTCGCGCCGTCGTCAGCCACATGCAACCCCGTTCCCTCCCCACGGCGTCTGGAATTCCACGTCGCCGCCGAGGGCGTTTGTGGCTGTTTTAGACGGTGCCTGGTGCCTGAGATGGGGTCGATCCTTGTCCTTGGCATGCCGTTGCCCAAAAGCCGTCCAAAAACAGCCGCACGTGAATAGGGGCCGTTTTGCTTCCCCCCCGTCTGCCGCTGCCATTCCACCTTCTCGATCTGGCCATGAACTCAGCGCATAGCTCGGACGCCCCCTTGCGCCAAAATAAATAAATAAATAAATAAGAAATAATTGGAGAGCAAAACACATGGCGCCGTGCCTTACTGTTGCACGCCATCCATCGTCGGCTTACACGGGTGGCGAGCTGCATGCCTCTCCGAGCACCTTGATTTCTCAGCTTTGCTGCTCGGCCAGTCAAACCCGCCATTTCTTGCATCAAGCGGCGGACCTGTCAGCAGCATGTGCGTTTGACCTTTTTTTTTTTTTTTTTCTCGCCGTAATTTTTCCACATATGATTTCCACAGTGTCGGTGACACGACGACTCGGCCAATCAGCACTGCTGGCTTCGAGATGCCGGATTCCCGCGACATGTCTCACGCCGTGGAGAAAATAATAACCATTGGCCTGGCCAAGTATTCACACCGCACATCGCTGTTCGCCTAGATTCCTCAATCCCTGTTTCCAAGGGTTCATGTGAGACAAAATAGCCCCAACGGCGCAACGGGCGTGACGTGCTGGTGCGTGTAAACTCGCCTCTAGAGCGTATTCCCCCTTGCGCAGAAAGGACGGCGACTGCCTCCCATCGTGCTATGAGCAATGTAGTTCTCGCAAGCAGCAGAGTTGGTGTGGAGGACGGCTGGCGATGTAACTTGGATTCTGAATATTGAGCAAGGTTCCCCCTTCCCTCCCCCCCCCTTTCGAAAGCACAGCAGCCGGACCTTGGTTTGAATTTCATTGATGCAATATTTGCTCTTGCAAAATCCGCTCCGTCAGCTTATACAGCTGAGTATGCAGCCGTGCTCATCGAGAATCCGCACCGGTGACCGGGCCCAGAGCTGAGAGATGCCCGGGGACGCTATTCTGATTTGTTGGCAGGCGCAACACGAGACGCACGAGGACCGCGACGCCAGGCCGGGCAGAACATGTATATATAGTGGCTTGAGACAAGTTGTCTGGGCGTATCCAACTTGTGAATACCGTATCAACGGCCCTATTGGGAGGACAGGGACGTCTTGTCCTGTACTTGATGCAGAATTTCAACCCTCTCTTGTTCTTACTTGGCACAGCTCTATTTGCATTCGTATAAACATCTACCGAGTCCCTGCTTTTGAAAGGTCTTCCCTTCCAGGCCGCTCAATTCTTCACCTCGTCGTTCGTTCAGGGACTGGTGAAATGGATAACAAAGACACCCAGGTCCACAGCGACCTCGGACACGCAGACATGGCTCATCAAACACAACGGCAGCATTCCACCGTCCTCGCGGATAACGCTGCCATATACCCGTACCAAGAACCCGCCCAGCCTCGCACTCTGGTGGACATATTCGACGCCTCCGTCTCGGCGCACCCCGCCGCAGCCGCCATCGACAACGGCACCTCGCAGCTGAGCTACAAAGAGCTGTCGGAGCAAGTTGCCGCGCGGGCGAAGCAGTTGCGAAGTGCCGGCATCGGCGTCGGCGACAAGGTCGGCGTCCGGATCACCTCTGGATCGATAGAGCTGTACGTCGGTATCCTGGGCATCCTCGCCGCCGGAGCCGCCTACGTCCCCGTCGACGTGGACGACCCCGACGAGCGAGCCCGGCTCGTCTGGACCGAGGCCCGCGTGAGCGCCGTGCTGACGGACAACGCCACGCTCACGCCGCACGAAGCCCCCGTCGGCGGCGCACGACCACAGCGCCCCCAGCTCGAGGACGACGCCTGGGTCATCTTCACCTCTGGCTCGACAGGCAAGCCCAAGGGCGTGGCCGTCAGCCACCGCAGCGCAGCGGCCTTTGTCGACGCCGAGGCGCAGCTGTTCGTGCCAGAGCGGCCGCTGGGCCCGGGGGACCGCGTGCTCGCCGGGCTGTCGGTAGCATTCGACGCCTCGTGCGAGGAGATGTGGCTCGCGTGGCGGCACGGCGCGTGCCTGGTGCCCGCGCCGCGGGCCCTGGTCAAGGCCGGCGCCGACCTGGGCCGGTTCCTCTCGTCGCAGCGCGTGTCCGTCGTGTCCACGGTGCCGACGCTGGCGGCGCTGTGGCCGGCCGACGCCCTCCGCGGGCTGCGCCTGCTGATCCTCGGCGGGGAAGCCTGCCCCGCCGAGCTGGCCGCGCGGCTTGCCCGCACCGCCGGGTCGGTGTGGAACACGTACGGCCCGACCGAGGCCACGGTGGTGTCGTGCGCCGCGCCCCTCGAGCCCGGGGCCCCGGTGGTGCGCATCGGCCTGCCGCTCGCGGGGTGGCGGCTGGCCGTTGTCGGGCCCGACGGCGACCCCGTGGCCTGGGGCGACGAGGGCGAGCTGGTTATCGGCGGCGCCGGCGTCGCGCGGTACCTGGACCCGGAGAGGGACAGGGCCAAGTTTGCGCCGGCGGCCGTGTTTGGCGGCGAGCGCGCGTACCGCAGCGGCGATGTGGTCCGCGCCGAGAGGCGGGGGCTCGTGTTTGTCGGCCGCGACGACGAGCAGGTCAAGCTGGGCGGAAGGCGCGTCGAGCTGGGCGAGGTCGACGCCGCGCTGCTGACGCTGCCCGACGTGTGCGCCGCGGCGTGCGCCATCCGCCGCAGCGAGGTCGGCGCCCAGGTGCTCGTGGGCTATGTTGTCTGCGGCAACGGGCGGGCGCCTGATGCCACGGACCGGGAGCTCCTTCGGCGGGTGCTCCCCGCGACGCTGGTGCCCATGCTCGTTGCCGTGGACGACCTCCCGGTCCGCACGTCCGGCAAGGTGGATCGCAAGGCGCTGCCGTGGCCGCCGCCGCCGCCGCCTGCCCCGGCCCCGGCTCCACAATCGTCGGCCGGCGATTTCCCATCCGGGAATGTGGATAAGGAAGAGGCCGACGGCACCACGGCATGGGTCGCCGAGCAGTGGCGTCGCGTGCTCGGCATGCCGCCCTCGTGCGACGCCAACTTTTTCGACCTCGGCGGGACCAGCTTGGGCGCTGCGCAGCTCGTCTCCCAGCTCCGCCAGCGATGCCCAACTCTCTCCGTCGCCGACGTCTACGAGAACCCGGGCCTGGCCGCTATGGCTGCCCGTGTGGACGACCTCATGGGCACCGGACACGTTGATCGCGAGGTGGTGCCGACGCCGCGGTGGCTAATGGTCATCCAGGCTGCGATTCTCCTCCTCGAGATGACCTTTCAGGGCGTCCGGTGGCTGACGGGGCTGGCATTTGTCAAAAAGATCTTTGTCGTCGTTCTCGGGCCGGGCACCTGGGCCGGTAGGTACGCGCTGCCATGGTGGGTGCTCGCCGTCATCTGGGCGGTTTTCCTCACGGCCCCCGGGAGACTGCTCACGACGGCCGGGGTGGTGAGGATGCTATGCTTTGGCATCGCGCCGGGCACCTACCGCCGGGGCGGACTGCGTCACATCAGGCTCTGGGCCGCGGAGCGCTTCGTGGGACTCGGCGGCATCGCGTCTGTCGCGGGCACGCCGTGGTGCCGATACTACGCGCGGCTGCTGGGGTGCCGAGTGGCTTCCAACGTACAGCTTCACGCACTCCCGCCCGCAACCGGGCTGGCTAGCTTCGGCGCAGGCTGTGCCGTGGAGCCCGAGGCCGATGTTGCCGGGTGGTGGCTCGATGGCGACAAGCTACACATCGGGGCCGTCACAATTGGTGAGGGGGCCAGGGTTGGCGCCCGCAGCACTCTCATGCCAGACACGATTCTGGACCCCTTTGCCAGTGTTCAGCCCGGGGTCAGCGTCCGGGGCATAATCCGGGCGTCGGACGCCTCTCTCGCCCCCAAGGGCAACGAGGATGGTTCCGTTGGGGCCAGGACCAGAGAGGGCCTCGGGATATGGCTCTTGTACACGAGCACTCTGTTGATGCTGGACTTCCTCCCTGTTCTCTTGGTTGCGCCTATTTTTTGGCTCGTTCCGACCATCGTTGGTGACTACAGCAACTTTCGCGAGATGTGTCTAGGCCTCATCACAATGGCAGCGCCAGGTTCCGTCCTGGGGCTGTTGTTGTACTCGACCTCCATCATCCTGCTCACACGGACGGCTAGTCTCGCACTCCGCCCCGGCCTCTACTCGTGGCATGGGACTACGGCGTGGGCGGCTTGGCTGACACATTATTTGATGATGAATACCAGAACCGTCCTTTTCCCCGTCTTTGCCAGCCTATTTACCCCTACGTGGCTGAAACTCCTTGGTGCCCGAGTAGGTCGCCATGTAGAAGCGTCGACCGTTGTCCCTATCCCATCGCTTCTCCGCGTTCAAGACGGCAGCTTCCTCGCCGACGACGTCTTGCTGTCGCCGTTTGAGCTCGGCGCCGGCCAGGTGCGAATCGGCACTGCAACGGTCGGTGTCAAGTCATTCATCGGCAACTCAGCCATTGTCGACCCCGACGTCGAAGTCCCGGACGGCGTCTTGATTGGCGTCTTGAGCTCGGCCCTGGATTCAAAGCAAATGGGGCCCGAGTTCTCGTCCGGCTCTTCGTGGCTCGGCCGACCGCCCATGGCCATACCACGCCGCATCACGACCATCGTCGACCAAAGCCGCACCTTCAACCCTCCGGCCAGACTGGTCTTGGCTAGGGCGCTGGTTGAATCATGCCGGCTGTTTCCACTATTACTCTCCGGCATGATTGCCACCTTGGCCGGAATAGCCATGCTGTACCTCCTCATCACCTTCGGCATCGGCTGGGCCGTCCTGGCCAGCGGCGGACTTCTCCTGGGGTCCGGACTCGTTGCCTGCACTCTGGCCACTCTGGCCAAGTGGCTGCTGACGCCGAATATCCGCGCTGGCCATCAGCATCCGCTATGGAGCTCCTTTGTCTGGCGCAACGAGCTTGCCGATACCTTCGTGCAGTCCTTGGCCGTGCCCTGGTTTGTGTCCATGTGCTATGGCACGCCGTTCCTCAATATGTGGATGCGCTCTCTGGGTGCCAAGATTGGACGCGGCGTCTGGCTGGACAGCCATCTGCTGCCGGAAGCCGATCTGATTACGCTTGATGACGGCGCCACAGTGAACCGAGGATCCGTCCTCCAGACTCACCTCTTCCATGACCGGCTTATGCGCCTCGACAAGGTGCACCTCGAGGCAGGGGCAACGCTCGGCCCATATGCCATTTCACTGCCTGGTACAACTATTGGTGCGGGCACGACTATTGCGCCTACTTCTCTCGTTATGCGCGGGGAGCACATCCCGGCTGGTACACGGTGGCATGGAAACCCTGTTCGGCCGTGGAGTGTAGAAAAAGACGAAGGCCCAAGCCCCAGCTCTAGTTCGGACAATGACTCACTATCTCCCGTTTGATATGGGCCAGGGTCATGGCGATAGTGGTTCAAGACAAGGTAAATGTCTGGAACATTTCCTGATTGTAGAGTGGTCTCCAAAGTGCGGGCATTTGTGTTTTTTGCTGGGCTTTTTCTTCACAATTACGATGATTTCCTTGATTCTCATTTGTTCCTCGGGGGATATACAATACTGTTTGCCGCCAGGAAGGTTCATCATGTTTAAAAAAGGGTGAGAGTTTGCAGTTACACATATTTATACAGTGCAGCTATTTCTTTACATTATTCTCATATTCTTAGGTAGACAAAAGGCGCATAATACATTTCCAATGGTTCGAGGTCTCATGACAAACTCGTCTGATGAACTCATGTTACTAGCGTTATTACATCCCATTGCCAATAACTACCATTGAGTTTATGCTATTGAGACAGGTCATTCGCTTGCCCGATATCGAAGCCACACCGTCATGTCTGGTATATAAATGTAATTGATGCGCTCTGGTGCCTGGCTGTTGCTGCTCAATAATGTCCAGAATACTACTCTGCGTGCTGTCATGAAATTTTGGCAAGATGGTTGGCACAGTTTCGTTGGCCGGGTTTCAAATATTGGGTGAAGCAGTGGAGCATGATGGCAACAGGAGAGCCAATCTTGAAACTAGCACAATTTATATGAAAATGCGTTCCCCCTGCGACGAGAAGCCACGAATTCCTCATGTTGATTAGCGACAACAAGTGAGTCGATGCTTTCCTGTCGGACTACAAGCAAACTCCGCAGGGGTGTTGTGTTATCAAGACCTATCCGCATTATACGAACAATATCAGAGAAACCACGTCAATCATCTTCCACTAGGCATTTGGAAATAGGTGGTTTATGATTCTGTGTTTCTGTTGTTATTATTGCCATTGGCGTGCTCCAAGTTGACGTTGGAGTAGCTAACACAACGAGAGAATTATGACCCGTGTAGGGAACCCGTCCTAGCCCCCTTTATGCCTTGCCTACATCCCTTATTCACTTGTTAACCATCGGCTTGGCATTCTTTCCGTGATCCCTTATTCCTTTTATACCTTGTAACAGCCCTCTGGAGGCGGGTAATCACCGTAGCCAACGGGGTTGGCCGCCGGGTCCTGCTCGGGGACCGGATAAGCGAAGACAGAGGCAACAGCCGCAGCGATGAGGGCGACTAGTGTAGTAGTCTTCATGACGAGAGTAAGTAGGCTTGTTGACGTCGCGTATAATGGTCTAGTATGAGTTCAAGTGACGGAATCGATAAATGCAGCTTATCCAGATGGATTATTTTTGACAGTTGAAGCACTATTACTCCCAGAGGAGGGACCCACGATGTTCAAGTCTGATATGATAGCTGTGGCATTTGCATTTGAGGTTGATCCGATATCAGACTATTCATGCCTTGCGCGAACTCTTGATCTCCGACGTTGAACCACCTAGGCACCTATGGCAGCAGTGACGAAGTAATATCAGCCATAACGCCACTACCATCAGCGAGGCTCGAGATTCTTTTGCTCGCGTCCGACTGCAGGACAGCAGTAGGCCTCTACAAAGAGCTAGTATTGCTCAACACAGTCACTCATTGGATGTGCAGTCCTCTCAGTTGAGCAACACACGTGATTAACGATCATGCGAGCCCTAACATAAATCCGCCCAGTTTTTAAAATCAAGCAGCTCTGGCGTTTCGTAAGGTGATCTAGAGCTATCGCAACATGAGCTGCTTGGACGGAGGAAGACATCGAGGACGTTGGTCGCCAAATTGTGCTTCTTCGTCTCAGTTTTTGTAGTGGACTGATAGAACTCAGCTCCCATCTTGAGAGATGTATCCGTTACATATGAGACCCAAGTATTCGATGGGTCATTTATGAGAGAAAATATGTACAGACAGCAAGGATCCCCGAAGTTTGATGAGGTCTGAGAAGATCCAGCAGTGGACTGTAAGAAACAGTATCTTAAAACATGAAATCCCTCCCCTTCTAAGCTTCACAGACCGAGCCGGGATTATCTCATACGAGGTTGATTTGGCTATTGGGTTAAAACCTTCCCTTGTTCAGAGAGCAGCCAAGTACGATGGGGGATTTCTTGTCAACGTCGAAGGAATGCATCATTTGCATTGTCTCGTTGGTCGCTTCTCCTGCTCCAACAACCTCAAAAACTAACATCTTCTCTTTAGAACCTCGTACGAAAATTGCTGTACTTCAATTACGGCCATTGCAAGCAACTAGGCGAGCACGAGTTTATAAACGAAGATGTCATCCTCCGCGTTCCTGCTGATTACTTGGCCAAACCGTGTCCAGGGAAAACAGCCACATCCGTTGAAAATAAATGAAGGTTGCCTAGAACGATGGGACGCGTCACTTCCGAAAGATGAGGAGTTGCTTGATCCCGACGAATCGAGATCTATGCAGCTTAGATTCCAAGTGTTTAAAATTCAACATCCATCTGAAAGAAGCTTCGTTCGTACGAGTCATAGCTGTACCCTAGGCCACACACATATCCATAATCAACCCAAGCTCCATTTCTCACCCTTCTGTCTACAATGCCTCATCCATTATGTTGGCACTTGAATACTGAAAACGAAGATGCAGCCGATGGACACCTATAGCTGTGACAGGTTCTTGCGTTGACCTCTTCGTTACTTGACGATCTCAGTACCCGAAAATGCTACGCCTCAAGCAAATCTCTTTCTGCCTAAACAATTCAAGGTATAAGAGGATGGTAAGTGCCAACGTTGTCTTCGAGCTAACCCTAGCCTTGAATATAGACGGCACTTCACAGAATATCTTCAGAGGGATGTGTACTAGTAGGCTGTTGTGTCAGCGTCCAAGCCAAGGAGCAAAGGTCTCTCTTTTGTGATATGAAGACGAGCCAGTCCGCCAAGAAATTCCGATAACGGCACATGGGCTATTCGGTTCATGGGAACCAACAGAAAGAGGCAGGGAGAGTTCTTGCCTGGCCGAATTCAGGCCGAAACTCGCTTATCCTCCGTCATATGTGTATTATTTGTAAAAGCTATGGTCACTTTTTCTCATCACTCTTTCCAAGATAAAATTAAAAGGCTTGGATATCACCTAGCACAGCTTTTCAAAAACGTGCTTCTGCAGCAACACTTGCGTCCCCTTCCCTGAGCCATGGCGGCGAATAATTGCCCATCTGTTTGGACGGCATCACAGGCATCACAAGATTCGCAACCATCATTCGTTAGCACCTCCTCCATTGATTCATTTCCATCTCAAATTGTTGGAGAAGAGCATGATACCTTCATACCAACCCCTGCGGAAATTGGCCAGATATTTCACGACGGCATAAAGACGTGGAGTCTTTTTTTAACGCAAGCAGAAACTGTCCCCATGGGCTTATGGCCGGTCGGGATTCTGGATCCTTACATCACATTATTTGATGTGCCATGTCTGCCAGCCAAAATGCCCAATGGCATGCAGCTACACGGAAGGCCACGTTGGCACTTGGCCCGGCCATCCTGCGTCGAGACTACTGAACCCGGCGATTGTGACTCGTCGGTCCTAAACGGACCGCGAGTTACCTTTTTTCTGAGATTCGATAGCCCAGTTCGGTGCGAGATCTATCCATACGCGTCCACAATACTATCGGGCAGCATCCCAGGGATAGCACAGAGTCATGCCGTCCTAACATTATGTTGGTCCTATATCCTCTCAGTCCGGCTCTTTGAGATGCAAGGTCGACAGGTTCGATACTCGAAACACCGTATAGTCCCCAAGTCGAGGTGCTATGGTCCGGCCATATATCTCGACGGTGCATCGCCTGCGCTCATTAGATGGCTTTGCGCAGTCTTGTGTTGCGAGACGGGCTGGATGGCTGATGACAGGCTCTTCCCGCCCTGGGCTGCGTGCTTGGCAACAAATCCAGAACTTGTTACAACATCGCCAGCGCCGACTAAAGACCTTGCGGCTCCAAGCTCTTCAGAGGCAACTCGCCTGCTACTGGAGCTGTGTCAGTTATTCGATCTGAATACAGACCCATCTGGTGAAAAACTGACGGCACTGCCTCCTTGCAGGGCTGGTTTCCTCGCCGCTCTCATGTTTCCTTTCTACCGATTTCGTACAATGACGCCTCGGCTTCCGCAACCCGACATGCGCCCAGCAGGAAATAACAAGAACCGGAAAGCCCATGACAGACGAACTGTCTTGCTTTATTTGCGCGATATTCGGTATTTTATGTCGCTCAGCATACATCCACCTTCGCTCGGGTCTATTCTATGGAGCGCTCTCTGGCAACCTGATATTGATTGTAACCTGGTGAGTCCGTGGCTGGCTTGGTTTATCAACGTACTAGACCATATCATCAACGGCAGGAAGCTAGAAATTTTAGTCAAAGTTTTAGCCTTGCGCCGTCCAAGAGTCGGCATTTGGTGGCTGGCTCTGTTCTTGCTTGGCGACCTCGAGATTATCCACTGGTTTCGACGTTATGCAGAAACTCTCATGGAGAAGCGTGCGTCCGCGACATTATCTGCGCCTGACCCAGTCGTATCTGCCTGGACTGGATCGAAACAATCATTCCTAGATTATGACAAGACGAAACAATACAAGGGACTAGACGACTTGGTCTCCAGAGAAGACTTGCTTCGGTGCAGGCTAGTTTTCAACAGCCAAGACCGCTACTTTGCCTCCCTGTCTTGGCGGCCATTTGGACACATTGCGATGCGAAACGTGGAGCTGGAACTCTGGCCGTACTTGGAGAGCGACTATGCTTTCGTTTACGATTCGTTCGCTTGGTACCAAGACGGCAAGCTCCTTCATGTCAGCCGCGGCTTCCGATCAGAAACAGGGCGCCACGTAAAATGCGTCCCGGATGACTTGGAGCGCCGCCGGTCCGAGACCAACTGTCACGCCGGGTGTCACCATGACATCAAGCTTGAGTCGAGCAGAATCTCTACCTTGAACATGTTGTCACGGGCCATATATGATGCCACGGGTGGCCGCCACTGGGCGAATACCGCACTGCCCGCTACAAGCCGGCAACATTGGTGGCTGCGCGAC